TATGCAGGTTTAACGGATGCATACCATGCTGAAAATGAGTACTGTCTTTATAAGGATATGGCCAATGGCTACAAGGTTTTTGCCAGCATCATCTCTCAATTGGAAGAAGATTGATTATAAATCGTTGTTGTTTTAGAGGTACTATTTAAGAGAGTGAATGCAGTATAACTCTGTATTTTCATGCTCACTGCAGAGTAATAAATAAAGTTTATCTGCAGAGTATGCTTTGTAATCCTGAATGCTTTTCTGGTTTCATCTGTAATTTGTATTCAATAAAGGCAATGCTTGTTTATTTGTTTCCTAAGTGTTTTTTGAAAACAATTTTTTTTTTTAATATATGTGAGTGGTTGGGCCAATTTGGATGCAATTTGACTATGAATTTTATAGGACAACCGTCTCATTTTACTATATTTGGTTGTCATACAAATTGGTAAGATATTAATTTGGTTAAAAACCACTTTTAGTCAATGTACTTTCGGTAAAATAACAATTTAGTTCATAAACTTTAGTTTGTAACGATTTAGTCCCTATATTTTCAAATTGGTAACAATTTAGTCCTTGAACTTTATTATGTAATACTTTAGTTCTCCTAATTTAAAGTTGGTAACGATTTAGTCCTTAATTTTTTTTTTGTTAAGTTTCTTGTATGTATAGATTGATAAACTAAAAAATGACTAAATGTGTTTATGAATTAGAAAGACTAAATTGTTATATGATAAAATTTGACACTTAATTTTAATAAAATGCTTTACGATAGGGATTAATTGTTACAAATTTTAAACTAAAAGAACTAAATTATTACAAGTTAAAGCTTAAAGACTCAATTATTACTTTAGGGAAAGTAAATGGACTAAATCGTTACAAACTGAAGTTCATTGACTAAATTATTATTTTAATAAAACTACATACCCAAATGTATTTTTTAACTTATTAATTTTTAGGAACTAACCACTTAGTTCAAAATCTATTCTTTTTTAGCATTTTACTTTTTTTTTCTTTTTAAATTTATCCAATATTATGGATGAATAAAAATTAGTGACCGATGCAATAAATTGTGCTAAATCAAACTAAATCCTTGATTAGGTTAAAGAATTGCTTGGTCTTAGATGAAATTGAATAAGAATGAGTGGCATAGTTGTGGTTAATTTGAACGGGTTGAAAAATTTCAACATGCATTTGTTTCTTATTTTCTTTCTCATTTAAGTCGAAACAAAGAAAATGTGTGGCTTGGAGGGTAAAATATGATCTTTCACGTGGATCAATTAAAATGGATGATTTTGTTTTATCCATTTCATCCGATCTACAACTTACCTTCTAGTACGGAATAGTTCGCTCCTCCGTAGAATGTGAATCTTGGCACAATGGCCGAACTATGAGATGAAACTAGTTACAATGTGCAGAAACCTCTATAACAGTTGTAACAAAACAAGTCTCTCCTACTCCCATAAAATATCCAATCACTCTCCTACGTAGGTATGTGATTCTGTCTAGAACTAATTATATATATCGAACTTTAGAGTGACTTTTGCATGCAGATCTTTATTGCATAGTTTGCTCTGTGTAGCTTGGTTAGAACAAGTTTACTATGAATCTCGGCTCATTTAGAATCCAACATCAACAAAGTGGTTTTATCTATAGTTGAATTGACATTTTTTCTTTTTACGCAATTATTGAAATTAAAGCGTTCATGCTATGCCCCATTTATGAATACAAAATTGAGCGAATTGTAACCTCTCCAATATTTCGAAGGGATATAGATTATAACTCTCACAAATAAGGTAGTATATTTGAAAAAATCAAGTAAAAATTAAAATTAGATGAAAATATAAAGGAATACCAAAAGATATATTACAAAATTACAGCACCAATAAAATGGACCAAGTAAAGTATATAATGCCAAGAAATTAAATTTTATAGAAACCAAAATGAGTATTAATAAAAAGGAGTAGTCCGAAAATTATTAAAATAATTCACTTTATTTATTTATCTGCAGTAAAAAACTTCAGTTACATTGTGGTAGTTGAAAAGTAAATAAGCCAGAGAAAAATTTTCATAAACTATTGCCTCGATTAGCAAAATTGGCATTTTCAAAGTAAAATGTGAATAGATTATAAAAAGATGATAAATTAAACAATAAATCAGAGTGGCGCAGCGGAAGCGTGGTGGGCCCATAACCCACAGGTCCCAGGATCGAAACCTGGCTCTGATAGAGAGTGGCTTCCGAATGTATATATTTTTTTTCTTGATTTATTTTCGCGAAAAGGAAAAATATTATAATCGATTTCTGCTTTCGGTTGGGTCAACAATTCTCAGTTCTTAGTTGCAGAAGAATCATAAATCCCTTCCGAACAATTTCTCACTTCTCACCAAAATTTTCCATCTCAACTTCCCATTTTCTGCGATTACACTCCTCGAATTCCCCAGATCTCAGCCCTACCACTACCTGCTCACCTTTCTCTCGTCGTTACTCTCACAGTTTCTGACTTTTGGCGAACTCGTTCTGCGCCTTGTTACTTTGGGGCACGATCCGCTGGATCAGACATGCCGGTGGCTGCATCGGCCATTTACTTCCTCAATCTCCGGGGAGATGTTCTCATTAATCGTCTCTACCGTGACGATGTTGGGTAATTTTAGCTCTCTCGTATGAGTTGCAATCAGTATTCTGGATATTAATACAAGAGGGTTTACGGCATGTCTTTGGGATTATTAAGATTACTTTGCAGGATATTTTAGGTTGGGAAAGTCCGGAATTTTCGTTTGTCTTGTGGTTGATATGATTATATTTATTGGGTAGAGCTTACAATTTAGTTGTCGATCGCTGGAAGGGTGTTAAAACAATGAGAATTATGGAGGTTCTTCGTAGTTGAGTTTGGGATGATTAAACGAAATCGTCTATGGGCAAATTATATATGAGGAGGTTTATCTGGCAATCCCTTGGTATATCGTAGTTATGGCTGTTACTAGGTTGCTCTACTTGATGGTATGTGGTTAGTTACCGTATGACTCAATGCAGGAAACTCTTCTATCTCTTGGGAATATGGATTTATGTCATTTTGTTGTAGGGGTATTTAATGAAGTCTGTAGAGAAGTCCGTCCTAGTCAAAGTATTATAAGATCCCGCATACTTAATGAGATAAGAATGGTGGTAAGCCAAAATTATTATTACGCTTCTGAAATATGGTATGTAGTAATAGTTTGAAAGATGTTTGGTTATTCTATTGTCTCAAATATGTATCTACAGGAGGATATTATTGCGTGGAGGGAATATTTGCTTATTTCAGCCTATGGATGCAGTTTTTTATGCATCTTTGGATTTTATCGTTAAATTTTTGCTGTTTAATTTCTTACATTTAATAAAATTTTTCAGGGGAAATATGGTGGATGCTTTCCGAACACATATAATGCAAACAAAAGAGCTCGGTACCTGTCCTGTGCGGCAGATTGGTGGTTGCTCTTTCTTTTACATGAGAATTAGCAATGTATACATCGTGATTGTTGTTAGCAGCAATGCAAATGTAGCTTGTGCATTCAAGTTTGTTGTTGAGGTAGTTGGAATCTTCTTTACGGCTTGTATACTTTGGTGGAATATTCTTTTTCTTCATGAGTTAACTTTGACATTTGCTTAAACAATTATTTTCGTGTTTGTATTTACCTGCCCTTTATAGGACTTAATGAACACAATTTTGCTCGAGTAGCCAAATTTCTATGAAAATAATTAATTACCCAAATAATAAAGGTGGCATATTTATTTTTATGGAGCTTATGATTGAGTTTTGCTTACAGGCTGTTGCACTGTTCAAATCTTATTTTGGTGGGGCTTTTGATGAAGAT